TAAAAACAAAGACCTTTGTGACCTAGCTTTTCGAGATACCGGTCATTGATTTTTTTTAACCTATTTATATCACTTCTACTCATTGTCTCATATTTACCTTTAACTTTGTTCTGTTTTATTTTTAAGCTTAATGTTATTTTTTCATTGAGAACTGATTTAATTACGTCTGAAGTTTCTTATTTTAGCTTTTTAAAATGTTAAATGTTTTATTGTTAAAGTTTAGCAAGTAATGTGTGGAATTTAAGATGAGCTAAGCTGTGTTGGTATTTTGTTCATTTATTTAATTTTGAAGTTATTTTTCAATTATAACCTGCTGAAATGTTGGCAATGCTGCTGCTGTACCCAATCTTGTGAAACTGAAAGTATTTAATAAATTATGAGGGAACAATTCTAAATAAAAACACAATTTCAAATCCTTTCAACTTTTATGGGCCTGTGTTGCTGAAATGTTGAACAAAAATGTCTAAATTGTGCAGTTGTTTTATGAATCGCAAATCTAATCCACAGGATGTCTCCACGAATCGATGATGTTATGAAGCTGTGTTGTGAGTTGTCCACCAATCAGCAAGTTAAGACCACAGTAAAAGGTTCTGGGAAAGGAGCAGCAGCAGCTGGGGCGCTGGCCTTTGCTGGAGGATTGGTTGGAGGTCCTCTTGGCATAGCTGTAGGTGAGTGGAACAATGCAACAGTTCCTCTATCTTTAGGAACCATTTCTAATCATATAGATTCATCATAAATGCTGATGTATTGGAATTAAGCTGTTTATTTTGGAGTGATCAGCATTATTGGTTTATCTCAAAAGTTTGAAATTTTGATCTTCTGTAGGAGGGGCTGCTGGAGGCCTTCTGGGCTGCTGGCTGACCAGTGGTCAATTCAAACCACTTCCACAGATCATAATGGAGCTCAGCCCTCAGGAAAAGCAGAAGCTTTATGAGAATCTCATGGAAATCCTGGGAGACATTGAGTGGACTGATTTGGCTCAGCTGATTGCTCTAGTCATGGGCAATGCAACTCTGAAGCAGCAGCTTACGGCTGCTCTTCTTGGATACATCACCAAGGAGCTCCAGGCAGAAGTGCACTATGTTGATTAGTCACTTTCAATATTGTGACACAGAAGCCTAAATGCAGAGGAGGATGTTCTCTGATGAGTGTGAACTACTTTTTGACACTTAAAAGACTCCTAATTAAATTCTGTATGATATAAATGTTACATATGTTGATGAAAACAGCTGTATGGCTGGGTAATTTATTTTGATAAGTGCAATTATTACTTATTTATTGTACCATTTATTCTGTCTTTAACTGCACCGATCATCAAGTCTGGCTTTAAGTCATAGTGAATTTTAGGTTTGATGGAGTTGTGATGTTGTCCAGTCTACTATCTTATTTACATAAAAAGGATTGTGAACTAAGCCAAAATTCTGCTGTGTAATATAAAGATTTGATATAATTACATCAATTACCAGCCTTTTTACATTTTAGCAGATTTGCCAGCAACTGTATACAGCATATTGTACACTTTGAATAAAAAATAAAACCAGTGTGGACTTGGCATTTGGCATAGCAGTCTTTATTCCTTGGCATTGAATCCATCTGGGCATTAACATTGTAGATCTGTCTTTTATTAAACTTAGTACTAACACACTTAAGCTAGCGTGCTGGGGTTGGCATAGGATTCTAGTCATCTGAAGGTCTGTGATTTTATCCTGACTCATCCAGTCTGTATGTTGAGGGATCTTTGGGCAAGATACTGAACCCTAAGCTTCTCTTAGTGCATCCAGAGCATTTGTGAGAGTGTGTGCGTGCTTATTATTCACGTGAAAGTGCCCAAAGGCATAAGACACATAGACTATAGAATGTGTGAATATGTGCATATAGCATGTGGAGTAGTGGTTCAAAAAAGATGTCCATTTAACTTCCATTTTATTTTGATTCTGCTCTATTTTATAGACATACACCTTCTCCATTAACCCTTTATCAGCGTGAATGAAGAATCGCCTTTAAGAAAGTCTCTCCAGACATCGTTAATAAGAGATTTGGCTGTCAGATAATTAAATGTATGTACAGGTTAAAATTCACACTAATGAATCAAGTTATTTTTTAAGCATATGCATTTTTAAATATAGTTTTATGCACCTGTTGTGGGTGTTTTGGTTCTGTATTTTACATGGTTTCATTCCTGCTTTAGTAATTTCTGATAAAAACTTTCTTCTGGTCTATTTGTCTTTGCTTTTCTACTGTTGTGTCACTGGCCCAATAATAAAGTGGTGAAAAATTGTTTGTGTAAGTAGATTAAGTTCTTTTTAAGATTCAGTATTAATGTGTAATTGATTTATGATATCAACATAATGAACTGAAAAAATAACCCAGTTAAAATTGAAAATAATTTTTCATGATTTCAATAATAGAGTTGGATATAATATTCTTTATTAGTAAATACACAACCCCAATTCTCTCAGGGAGCCATCAGAAAATACATATTACAGAGAGGAACCGAGGCAAAGCTCCTGTATTTATCCCACCACCACCGTTTCATCATCTGGGAATTCATAGTAGGGAACCTCTAGGTTAAGGGGAGCGGGTCCCTTCCGGATTCTTCCTGAAGCATCATAGTGAGAGCCATGGCAGGGACAGTAGTAGCCTCCGTACTCTCCGGCATTAGCGATGGGCACACAACCCAGATGGGTGCACACACCAAGAACGATGACCCACTTGGGGTTGGTCACTCTATCCTTGTCATGCTCGGGATCACGCAGCTCTGCAAGATTCACTGCCTGCTCTGTGGCGATTTCCTTCTCTGTACGGTGACGGACAAACAAGGGTTTTCCTCTCCACTTGAAGGTCATGTTTTTGCCTTCTGGGATATCGCTCAGCTTGACCTCTATCTTGGATAAGGCCAGGACATCAGCAGATGCGCTCATGGAGGAGATGAACTGGGTGACGACTGTCTTGGCTGCATAAACTCCCACCACAGTGGTAGCGCCAGTGAACAAGTAAGAGAATGCCCTTCTTGCCTCACTGCTCTCTTGGGAGGACTTGTTGGGGTCCATAACCTCAGGCCGACGGTAGTCTGAAAAGTCTGGAATCTTGATGTCTGTGTGTGCAAGGCGGACTCCTCCAGGAGCTGAAGCGACAAATACGTTTCAAAGACACAGGCAGGAGATAAATAAACAGATAGTAAACTATACAACATCTCACAAAATAATCATTTTCTGTCAAAAACTCAACAACTCAGAAAAGTGTTGTTTAATTTGAGGCTTAATTCATATTTGACTGTAATGACAATAACTTCTGGTGCATTCAAATGACCCTAAAAACTGAATGACTTTGGTTTGGCAAAAATAAATCTTTAAATTTCTACTTTTTGAGCTCATGCTGTAAATTCCACACGTCCTAATTTTGCAGCCATTTGGTACTTTGAGACTAACCTACCTACTGTAATTCTTTATATGGTTGTTCTTAAAGATCCCTAAAAGTGAAACCATCCCTTAGTTTTGCCTTCAAAGACTCAGCATGCTGGTGGACTGGCAATGTTGCACTGAGCACTTCTTCATCACTTCAGTCTTACAGTCTGTGTTTTATGCCGTCTCCTTGTGTTCTCCTTTTTTGTAGTGGGTAGTTGTTGCTCACTGAGCCTGGTTCTTCCATTTTCTTAATGTTACATTGAGTTGTTTTTTTTTTTTTTTTTGCCTAAATGCTTTACATACTGATTGTTGTCTCATGTCTCATTGTTGGGGTTTTCCCTTTAATATTGTAGGGTCTGCTCCTTTCAATATGAATGCATGCAATACATATAAAATGGAAGTGAAATGAAAAAGGAATTTCAAATTAGGTCAACTGATACACAGGTATAAAAAAAAAGTGGTGACACTAAAAATGTAAGCCTCATGTTCATAATGCACATAATATTCTAAACAATTGTAAATTCTTGAAGCTATGATAACATTCTAGTGAAAATCTGACATGGTGAAAGGCCAAACAGGAAAAAAAAAATCAATTACTGTGACTCTACAGCTGCTTGAAACATTTATTTAGAATTATATGATAATCTGATAATTATACAACATCAGGTTGTTCGGTCTTTCTAGAATAAATAATAGAAATCTAGGCTGACATCTTCATATTTTGACAAAACAACGAAAATAAACACATTTTGCTACAAAACCGAGGCACCATTGTTCATATTTATCAAATTGGAAACTGTGCAAATATGAGGCTTAAAAAAATGTCTTTTATGTAACCACCTCCATGCAAATGGAATTCTTTAAATATATATTATATTTCTTTAGATCCTTCTATTGTCATCTTTCCTTATTCCACTACGCTGTTATTCGGGTCCTATTTGTCAGTCAGGTCAAAGATTGCCCATTACCCTTCCAACGTCCTGCTAGCCATCGCAAGTTGTTTACGATTAGTTTTCAAGAAGCCTCCGAAAATAGGTTTCACATTTTACAGCATTAAGATGTTATAGAATAATTAAGACGCCGGTACTGCGTTTTTTTTTTTTATCCTTTTATCCTCATGCGGCTCATTAGCAACCCCGGCTAACATTAATAACGCTCGTCACTGGGCCTTACCAGCAACAACGGCCACTTCTTTGGCTCCCGGAGACATCAAAGTTTTTAGTGCATGCTTTGTTGTCTGGAGAAACGGGGGAAAAGCCCCGGGACGAGCAGTTATGGACATCATTTTCGCCCAAGATAAGATTTCTCAACCCCACAGTTGGGGACACGACCTTGCGTGTACAATCTCCGGTACGTAACTTGTGTGTATCACTCTAATCTTCTGTACCGGAAACTGTCTCCGAACTCTTTTTAAAGTTCCGCATTAACCTAACTGTCTTTCTTTTTCTCCTCTACAAAAAAAAATCGTTATTAAATATTGTCTGACTTCTTCAACTTAATGTCGGTTTTAACACGTTACGATAATTTGACCCTAAAGCCTACAAACTAAACACAAATGTTTTAGTACAGGCATTTTTCTCCGTCAGCTAAATCCAAGGGTCCTTGTGATGTAAACAAGGGTCCTTGCAACAGAAACGGAGCTACATACACCATGGTAACCTGACAAAAAAAGGGGAGAACAATGAAAATACCAAAAAGAAAGCTGTTCCTTCTCCTTATTTTTGCATATGTAGCGTTTTCACTCTATGCTGCGTATAATGTTTTCTTCAGCACCAAAGTACTATCCCGCGTTCACAGGGTGGTGAAGAAAGAGACGGGAGCACAATCGGGTAATTTCACGGAGCAGGAGGGCCGCCTAAAAACAGGAGCCGATAATTAAAAATTATATTTATTTAATTTCGCGTGGAAAGAAAATTGAATAGATAACGGTGTGTTGGGTTTGTAGGTGGTGTAAGGGATGGCGGTGCTCCATACGTTGCTGATGAGTGGAATCCGTGGGAGGATGAACAGGTGGAGTACAACTCTGCTTTGAACAAAAAGAGAGAGGCCTTCAAACAGTACCTGGGTAAAATTGACAAGAACAAACCCAAAAGATACAAGGTCCAGATATGGGGGAAAGCTGCAATAGGTAGGTCATGATCTAATGTGTCACAGCCTGAAAGGAGGTTTTGATGTCATCTAAAAATGGAAAGAATTTGCTCTGTGGCAAGATATTATGGTTTTACATATATTTTATCTAATATCTGGAGGCCTACAGAATAACCGTCATTCGTCTATCTATTTTCTTTACAGGGCTTTACCTTTGGGAACATGTTTTAGAGGGCCCCCTCAACCCCACTGACAAGGTAGCACAATGGAGAGAGGGGGAGCTGCAGTCAGGGAAGATTGATTTCAGGTAACAGATCAGAGATAGAAAGTTTAAAAGCACAAACATATAGTTTGCACTTGAGCCTTAATTACATATTTACTGAAAAAAATGTGACCCCATCCTAGTAAATCACTCTGTCTCTAGTTTCTACACAGGTCCTGCAGTGGTGCAGGGTCATGTGCCTCTGGACATGAATAGTCTGGTTTTGGTTCTCAATGGCCGCGAAAAGCAAAAAGTCACTTACTCCACACGGTGGCTGGAGCACGTCCAAACTCTGGTTCAGTCCAATACAGTGTCTCACGTTGCTGTGGTTCTGCTGGGCAATGAGCACTGCAACAACAACTGGATCAGCCCACATCTGAAGAGAAATGGTGGCTTTGTGGACCTCCTGTTTGTAGTGTATGATAGCCCCTGGGTCAATGACAAGGATGTCTTTCAGTGGCCTCTTGGTGTTGCTACGTATGTCCTCGCTTATTGTCTAATTTGTGTGTATGTGTCATGTTTCCTCTTTGAATTAGTAACGCTGTCTAATATAATGCCACGATTTTGTCTCTGTACAGATACAGACAGTTTCCAATGATCAGGCCTAATGCCCAGTTAATTACCTCCAACCGGCCATACCTCTGCAATTTCTTAGGAACTGTTTACAAAAATTCTTCCAGAGAAACACTCATGCATATTCTGACACAGTCTGGCCTGGAAAAGGATTGCATCACCACTGGGAGGGAAAAGTAAGTCACTATTTATTACCTGTTTCATTGCCTTATCTGAAAGAATAAAATCTTTTAGTTTTTTTATTGGCTGGATTATTTTTACTTTGGCTGACTGTGCTATAACACAGCTATAACAAGAGGACAAAAAGTTGAGATATTTAGAATGGTATAAAGAACATCTTGCCACTAAGGCCGTCCTAGTGTATCTTTGTGAAACTATTAATGTCTACAGTAAGCTTCATGGTCAAGCGGTTTCAAATTATTAGTCTTGCATAGTGAAATCCAAAACTTATTTAAGTTTTAGGGAACCAAACGACTTTGGTTAAAATTAGACATCACAGAGGCCTAAGCTTTTAATCCACATGTGGGCAAAATATAGGGCAAATCAACTGAATCTGACCAAAATCTCCTTAAAGAAAAAGAAAAATGAATAAGAAAGAGGATTATGCTAAGGAATGTCAAGGAGAATAACTGCAATAAGTCTTCACTGCCATTTAAGTCCATTTCAGTGCAGTGCGGTTCATCAGTAATCTATGCAGTAGCGAAGATCAAACAACTGGCAAGATAAATGCTAATTTAAAGGCTGATAAAGAATTTAATTGTTAATTTTTAATGTTAGCAATATTTATGTTATGATTGATTTATTCAGTGTGTACCCCTACAGATAATTCATCTAAGCCATTCGTCTAAGAAAATCCCATTGCTGGTTTAAATCTTTTAATATCAAGAAAAACTGATGTGCTAAATCATTGAACGCTGCCACATCAACACAAACACTTGTTCCCTGGTTTTACTGTGAACAGCTAAGGCTTTCAGATACATTTTTAAATAAAGAAAGTAAATAATAAAATTAAGCCTTTAAGATAATCAAGCCCTAATTATATAGGCATAGATAATTATGACACGTGCTCAGTTTTCCACTTATATTTAGGTTATGGCAATTTTGTACCAAGAAACACTTCATTTAAGTTTACTTTTCTGACTTGTTTAATAATAAATGGAGCTGAGGTGAGACAGCTTTGAGTTCTAAATGTAAATTACATGGAACAATATTATAGTATATTTCTGTGTTTATAGGGGTAGCTTAAACTGTTGACTGAAATATCTCCCCTTCTTACCTGCCACAGGTGGCTCCCTCAGGAGACAGCAGACAGTCTGAGACGCTATCAGACAGCTCTGGCCCAAAGCGAGCTCACTCTCTGCCCAGTTGGGATCAACACAGAGTCTTACCGCATCTACGAGGCCTGCTCTTATGGCTCCGTGCCCGTGGTGGAAGATGTGATGACACCTGGGAGCTGTGCAGCAGGGCCCAGCTCCCCGCTACGACTCCTAAAAGCTGCAGGGGCGCCCTTCATCTTCATCAGCGACTGGAAGGAGCTCCCAGCCATCTTGCAGAGGGAGAGAGGGATGACACAGGAGCAGAGGGTGGACAGGAGGAGGAGGCTGCTGGAGTGGTATTCCAGCTTTCGTCAGCAGATGAAGGAAAGGTTCACCGAGGTCATCGAAGAGACCTTCTTCAAAAACGGCTGACTGTGGTGCTTCTAAATATCAACAGGGTGGTTGACAGTTAAAACTGATTTTATTTATTTTATGGTTTGTGGAGAAATGTGATGTACTACTGACATAGTGAAAGTGGTGATGTTCTTTTCAATATTCTGGCGCAGGTTATTAAAAAAATAATTTATGTGTGTAGTAAAGTTGTAAAGCTGCCATTACTAGTCAGAAAGGGGCCTCGTGATATTTAAGTATATTCATCATCTAAATGTTTACAACTGTGGAATGTACAGGAATTTAGAGATAGAGGATTATGAACTGCCTTTGCATTTTAAAAAAACAACCCTTAATTTACTTTAAGTATGTTTTATGTGTTTTTAAGTAATTCTTATTGTGATTTTTAGGAAACACTAAATAATATGTGTAGAAGAGATTGCAATGTGTTTGCACCATTTTTAACACCCTGATATCCTTTTGAAATCTTTTCTCTTTGTGAGCTGCTTGCAAATGGATGTGGTTGGGATGAAATGTTTTGCTTTGTGGTAAAAAAAAAAAAAAATCAGCTGTTTTATATTTATTTCAGTTCTGTGCTGCATGTGTGTGGGAATTTCTTTTTCTTTTTTTTTTAAAGACAGTGCAGTAAAATAAAATGGAGCATTGTCCTGAACAGAAATGTGAGGTTGTGCTTTCATTGTGCCTGCAGATGGCGCTGTGGACCAGTTAAATGTCAGTGGATGCGATGATCTCCAGTGAAATGTAATGCAGACGCTTTTTTAAGTTGATAAAAAAAATTTATATGTGGGGAAACTTACTTTTCACATAAGCTAATAAACACGAAACATGCCGTAAAACTAAGGAGAAACTTCTGGATGTCTACCAAACTAGTGTATTTGAGATGTATAGGACACAGATCGATATTAGCTAAGAATATATTGATGCGTGGTCATTACCAGGAATTATGGGGTTTCTCGCTGTATTTCAGCTAGAGCTGTGCACAGGTGTGCGGCCACACGTTTAGTCTACCCTGTAGAGCACTCAATGTCTGTAAATAATAATTTAAAAAAAAACCTAAAAATGTCGTTTTATTTTGATTTAGAAAGAAAATATTGAATGAAAAACTAATATAATGTGACGTCTATTTCAAGTTACGTATAAGTAGTTTGTCCCTAATAAGGACAAAAAGCCTTCAGGTTTGGCAGCAGGAGTGTCCGTCAGGGCGCGGATGTCCACTACTGTGGAGATCCCTCCCTCCCTGTCCTTCCTACCTCCAGCTGCTGCGTGCTGCAGTCGGCTTGCCTGCCCTGTCTGCCTTTTCGCCTGCTGGGAGTTGAGTTGTAGGGTCGGGGGTGGGGGGCGAGAAAGCGTTGAGGGAGAGCGAGCATAGGGGGGGGGACGTGTGGATGTGTGGGTCTCAAACTGGAAACCACCACCAAAGCGGCGCAGACTCTTAATCATTCAAGCCGACTTCCAAGCCCTTCGGACATGCTGTTGACACTACTTCTGCCGGAAGGACCCTAAACTTGCGCGATTGTTTTTTCTTCTTCTTCTGTGGTTTCAGCAGCGCTGTCGCGCTGTGCCGACTGCTCGGATAGTTGAGAGGATTCATTGGTTGGAGCAGGATTGCGCATTGGCCCAGCCGTGTATCCGCCGCGTATCCTGAGGGAAGAAGAACAATGAAGCGATAAACATTTCCTCCTTTTTCCAAGTCCCGCTGCAGACTTAAAAAAATCTCGGTGCTTCTTCCCCTGGCTTTCATTTTTCTCGTGTTGTTTGGGATGCGTCGGTAGCTGTAGGATCCCGCTTGTTGACAGTTTTTTTTTCTTCTTTATACAAGAAGTTTACAACAAGTTTCGGACATAGGAAGACGGAAAATGTCCACACCGAGGTTCAAAAAGGATAAAGAAATTATCACGGACTACGAGAGTCAAGTCAAAGGTAAGGGGAGGGTTAAATGTTTCTCTGGGAAATGCGCTTGTAAGAGCTGCTGGGAGAACCGAGAAAGGACTAATTGGGACCAGGCTGGTTCATCACTACCTGCATGAGTCATAGCTAGTGATGGTGGTCACTGGCTATGACTTGTGGTGAGGTGGATTAAGAAAGAAAGTTGGTGTAAATGACCCCCTTTTGGTCAAGTCAAACGAGGACATGTCTTTCCAAGAGGTCCAGCCTTCATATAACTTGGATATCTGTAAAATGACTTGGAGGGCTGCCACAGCTCAATAATATTTGTGCCAGCAGGACAAAGTTAGGGATGTAGTCAGCAAAATAAATCATTAGTCACATTTCAGGAAGGGTTTTTAGTCTTGCATAGTTTTGCATGTGAAAACCACTGAGAACGCTCAATAGACTGACACTGGTTCAAAGAAGCGATCACTATCTTTCACATGGCTTCAGGCCTGTAGCCTTTAAAAATAAATAAAATAAAATCTGTTATTTTAAGGCTGTATGTCCACACATTGTCCTTAACAACCGAGATGCTTGTAATTATTCCCACTTGGCCTGTTGCATTTTTAGTCACGCTTGTGTGTTATAACTACCTGTTACTGTTGAGATTTTTTCTTGAACTCTAGCTGGTGTGGGACTTTTGTCGTTAAGCCATTGTTCCCATAATATCACAGCAAGGTTATGCAACTGGAGAGGTGAGAAAGGACAAGTTCAGGCATCACAGATACACACAAATTAACTTTGAGTGAACTGCTCAGGGGCACTTAAGAAGTAGTGGATGGTTAGTATTCTATGCCAATTTGTTTCCCACTTAATGCCACACACACTTTAAAACTTAAAACTGCTCAGTGACTAGATTAAGGTATGTGATTTAAAGGTGTGCTTCACTGATGTCGCCCCTAACTTATCTTGTCTCCTTCAAGTCCCCCGTTGGCTTATTCCCAGACAGAAAAGGCAGTTGCTGCTCCAGGGTAACCATGGGGATTTGGTCCCCAGCCTACCAGCTCTGTTCCTCAGTGCTATTAATTTGCAGAAATGCCACCTATTCACCTCCCATAGCCAGCCTTAACTGCTGAGAAAAGAGGAGAGGTTAGTGGTGGTTGGTGGGGCTTTAAGAAGGGTATAGAGAAGTGTTGGTTGAGGAATTACAAGATTGCATGAAAGCAAGCTATCATTTGCCAAGGGTTGTTCAGAACCCCATCCCCCTGCACCCCCCTGTAAGGATGACTAAGGGCTTTCAGCCAGTAATAGAAGATGATGCACAGTCATAAACGATGTCAAACAAGACATGACTTGGCCTCCCAGTTGTCTCGAGGAAGTTGGTGTGTTAATAAAAAGCACCTGATGCTGAGAATAGCTGCTGCTTGACAGCACCAGAAGAGCCTCAGTAAATCAAAGTTTAAGTGTATTGTTTTGTTGAATCTAATTCTGAGGCTAATGCTCTGAAGCTTGTCGTGCATTGTAAATATCCTCTAGGTAGGATATTTTTCTTCGGGGGAGTTAACATCACAGGCGGTGCACAGCTATTTGCATAAAGTACTGTTCTGGTTCTTTTTGCATTGTAAATAACCCGTGGGTATTCCATCTGAGGGATGCATTATTTGTTATCTTTCAAATGTATGTTCCAAAAACGACTGATTGAATTTATCTTTAACTATAATTAACCACAGGTAAACACTGTATTTCTTATCAATACTGTGTCGTCTGTTAAACAGAAAAAGAGGAATCTTTATTAGGTCGGTGTTCGCCTGCAAAGGAAGACTTGTTTTGTTTTTTTTGGGGTGGGGGGGTAGCTGCTGGGCTCATTGGGATATGAGTAAGTAGTACAGGAAGAAAATGCTTTGTAGTGTAGTAGCACGGTTTCTGCATTGAGAAGAGCAGCTCCTGATTCAGCGATTGTAAAGCCTTTTATATGTTAAGGGTGGTAATGAGTGGGGTTTAATCTGCAATGACCGGTGACAGCCAGAGGCAGAATCTGGTGAACAGACATTGATTACTTTAGAAGTAGAACAACAAGCATCCTAAAAAACATCAACAACTGGAGCCAACACTCTGATGTTTTGGCCAATATTCTCCCCGTCTCACAGCTTTTAAAAAGTACAGAATTTTCACAATATTTTGACAGAGATCTGGAAGCCAGTTTTGCTGCATCTTACATAAGCACACTGATCTGTAGCTCAAACCCTCTGCCTTGATTTTGACAGGAGACTTGCATCGTTACACCAACAATTCATGCTTCTTCCTTTTTTTTCCCTGCGACTCATCATTTTCATATTTGTGCTCAGCATGCTTGTGCTTAGTGGGATTGCTATTCAAGTCAGTAAATGTGATGTATTTAAAGTAGCTTTCCACGGTGACTGTCTGAACGCTTTCCTACAAAGTCTTACACTACTGTTCCCTGGCCTGGTTTGTCATTCAGCTAACATTCGTTTCATAAGTCCCGTCCAATAGCCTTTTTTAACCTCCTACGAGAAATGTAAAGCAAGTCATTTTGGCAATTGAAGGCAGTTATCATTTTATTGACAATGCTTTGTTGCATGGGGATTTAATTCTTTATAACTGCTAAGAATTGGCATCTACATCAAGACTCGGCTTGATCTGGGAAAACAAAAACATTAAGGAGATTGGGTTAAGACAGTGGAGTTTGTTTGTGCCTTATAACGTGCATCAGTTGCAGTCAATTAAAGTAATTGTAAACCAGCAAGTGAAAGCTTTGGGTACATTGCAATTCTCTGTGTGCCTCTGTTTCTGTGGACTGGTGGAACGGGGCAACACTGTCTGCAATGTTGTGGGTGAAATGTCGGTTTGATGTCAGGCTCTAGCTTGCTGTTTGTGTCCTGGGGGTTGTGACTCAGATGGCAGAACCCGTTAAAACCTCTGACAGGGGTCCTCTCCTGGATCATTATAAAGGCTGACCCTTGACCTGACTTCACTGCTCTTTGAAATCAGAGCTCTGCCCCTTTGCATACAAAGAGAATGGTCCCTCCATGTTTGTACGCAGGGGGATTAAAGGAAGGAAACTGCTGGGAGGTTGTATGGTGGTAATTACTTTTCAAATAGCTAAGAGTTGTCTTGTGGTTAAAAGTGTGATTAGTTAATTTACTTCACTATCAGCACAAATTACGTCTCTTCAAATGCATGGGGGCGTGCTTGTGGATCATCATGCATTGCATGTGATGTTCATGTGACATCAGGTTATCATGTGGACGGATTTTTGCTTTAACTCTGCCTGCTACCAAGCTTTAGCATGGAGAGTAGTCTATAGAGGCTGTCTTTATTTATTTAGAATAGTCTAGAAGAAGTACTGTGAGATATAAAACACTGGGAAGTTTTCACAATACTTCAGAAAGTAATCTGTTTAGACAAAATCAGTTTGAAGAGGGATTTCACAAAGAACCCGAAAATAGCCATTAGCCAATTTTACATCCTTGGGTACATAATTTCATGTTTCTGGTATTCCAGTTATTAATGTCAGTATCATAAATATTGAATTTGTAACATTAGAAGTTTGTTACATTTGATCTAGTCGCTGATAGATTGACGGACTGTTTGTTGGTTGTTTCATACTTTGGGTTAATCCAGATAGAGCAGCTGTCTGAGCAGACTCCT